AAAAAAAATTGAAATTTATTAGATAATTATTAATTAAAAAATGTGACCACAAATTAAAAAATTAAAATGGATAAATTTGTCAATAAAATTAAAAAATGTTAATCCGTTAGCAGTTTGGTACAAAAAGCTACATAAACTAACTTTTTCAATTCGCTAGCGATTTAGACCCTAACCGCTATCCGCTAGTCTCAAACCGCTAAATAAAAATTTTACCAAACATATTAGTTGTAGCGGTTTCGAAATATATAAATTTACCAAACACATATATTTAGCGGTTTAGGTAAAACCGCTAACCGCTACTCTAAAACCGCTATACCAAACGGGGCCTTAATGTCATTCATAGAGCAATCAAGAACTTTGCATAAATCATCATAAGAATACTCAAATAAACTTTCATTAATTGAACTAGAGAAGTTAGAGTTTGCCTCCTCATCATGGTTGCTATCCTCTTGAGCCATGAAGCAAAGATTTGCAACACCTTTCTCTAAGGAGCTTTCACTTTCCGTTGAGCTAATCTCATCATCACTCCAAGTGGCAGCAAAAGCTTTCTTCTTCATGCTCTTCTTGCCTTTCTTCTCACCCCTCTTCAAATTGGGACATTCATTTCTATAGTGCCCCATCTTGTTGCACTCATAGCATTTCACACTCCTTTTGGTAGACTCTCCTTCATCTCTTTTTGCAAACTTGCTCTTGATGTTCTTCTTCATGAATCTCCTCACTTCTCTAGAGATCAAAGTGGAGATGTTTTCACCATCACTAGCATCATCTTACTCTTTTCCTTTTGGTTGCTAGCCTTGAATGCAACATCCTTCTTCTTCTTCTCAACTACTTCAACTCCACCATCAACTTGAACTTCTATCTTATATGTCATCAATTTTCCAATGAGATCTTCAAGCTTGAGAGTATTGAGATCCTTAGACTCTTCAATTGCGGTCTTCTTGGCTTCCCAATTCTTAAGCAAGCTTCTAAGAACCTTCCTCACCACTTCTTGAGAAGGATAAACTTTACTAAAAGCCTTGAGATTGGTGACTATATCATTCAATCTTGTATACATATCTTGAATGCTCTCCTCCAGTTTCATCTTGAAAAGCTCATACATGTAAATGAGTCTATTAATGTTTGACTCCTTCACTTGGCTTGTTCCTTCATGTGTTACCTCCAACATGTCCCACATCTCCTTGGCCATATCACATCTGGATACTCTATGGAATTCCATTGGATTGAGAGCACATTGAAGCATGTTGATTGCTTTGTTGTTGATCATGATCTTCACCAAGTCTTCATCATTCCATTCAATTTCTTCCTTTGGCACCTCACTTTCCCCAACTACTTTCATAGGCATATATGGACCTTTCATAGTCACAATCCATGCCTTGGGCACATTTGCAA